TTGTACCATGCTTGGGAATATCCCAATTTTCCATTACTTTTTAATAATAATAAGAATAACATCAACAACAGAAAATCAGATGGAACGGAGATCTTGGTGAATACCATGCCAGATATTTGCAGAGAAATGGATGACACAGTGGTTGCACATTAAGTGGAGCTGTGGCCTAGAGGTGGAATTCTTGCCTCACAACTCAGGAGGTTGTGAGTTCAATCCTAGGTAGAGGAAAATGTAGGGTCTCCTGCTTGGGCAGGGGGTTGGACTAGATGACCTGCAAATTCCCTTCCAACTCTGTTAATCTGTTAAAGTTTTGCATAACTTCACCTATTTTTCACCATTAAGCGCATTTGAAATAGATTATATTTCAAGGTGTTGGTGATTACCTATAAAGCCCTACATGGCTTAGGCCCGGGGTATTTGGTGGATCACCAGTGGCCAGCAACAGCTCCCCATCGCCCGGTGCGCTCACACAGAGAGGGCCTACTTGAGGTCCCGTCGGCCAAGCAATGTCGGCTGACGGCCCCTAGAGAGCGAGCCTTCTCTGTAGGCACACCTACCCTCTGGAATCAGCTTCCCTTGGAGCTCCAGGTGGCCCCCGAACTTCGCTCTTTCCGCCGTGACCTTAAAACATGGTTGTTTCGCCAGGCTGGCCTGGACTGAATGGGGTTTTAATGGGAATTTTAGTTTCTTTTATTGTTTGAATTTTAATCTGGACTTGCTGTTGCTTATTGCTGTGAGCTGCCCTGAGTCCTTGTGGAGAAAGGGCAGCATATAAGTCCAATAAAATAGATAGATAGATAGATAGATAGATAGATGATAGATAGATAGATAGATAGGTAGATAGATAGATAGATAGATAAATAAATAGATAAATAAATAAATAAATAAATAAACAAATAAATAAATAAATAAATAAATATATTGTGGAAAGTGATTACACAATATTTGCCTATCAGGTGCATATAAAAACACACATGAATTTTAAAATGTAACCCGTTTATATACATGTGTGGGGTGCATTCCTGGCCCAAATACTATGTTTTGTAAATATTAAAATGTGCCTTTTTTTGTCTCGTGAAAAAAAAAAAGGTAAACCGTTTTAAAGAATTAATGTAGACATGGGGTGGACTAAATCTAAGGTTTTTATTTTAAAAAAAGAGAACTTGGAAAAAAAGAGGACTTTTTAAAAAGTTCATCCATCGCTACTTGGTGTATCTCCCTCCTCCCTGCAAGCTCGCTCATTATAGGCCTTGGCACTAGGAAGAGTTATGAACATTCTTCATTTCTAATAAATTGGTTTTTCATGGCACTGCTAGCAGAAAACACAGTATGGCAAATCTTTGTAAATACTGAACAATTGAAAGAGGAATTGTATGGGGCGTAGTATGACTGTAGCTTGGTGTGGGAATGTCTGTAGCCAGGATTTTACTTCTTGCTAATTCATAAAATTTGCTGGTTAATGTAGACATAATCACTAAATGCATCTAACAGGATTTTGGAGTCAAGAAGTGGGAATACAGTAACTGCTGTTTTGACTTCCTTGGGGAAGAGATGGAAGGCAAAGATGATAAACATACTTTTATTTCTTTGGATTCCCATACTATAGAAATCATATAGCTTGATCACAAAGCTGAAATAAGGTTTCCAGAACAAAATCTTATATATTTCATAGTAGAGTGGGGGGGGGGGGCAAATCCCATCACACACAGTGCATCTGCCTATTTGTTTTTCAACACTTCTTGATCATTTTAGCCTTTAAGGATTCTAAAAAAAAAACACGTCAAGAGCTTTCTTCCAATCATGGATTTATAATAATTATTGCAGCCTAATCATAATTTGAGAAATGGATTAATTTGCTTAATTGATTAGAAAACCTGATTGGGGCCTGAAAGAGCATGTAGGCTGCCCATGGGATTGCTCCATTTACAACCAAGACACTCAACGTTAGGCAGATAATGGTAATGGTTTTATTTTATAAAAAATAAAAGTATGAAAGACCAATGTGGAAGTCAGGGGGGGTGGGGAAACACAGTAGGTGGTTAAAAGAATAAAAATGCCAGAATAGTATTAGTGGCTTTGAACAAATCTTTCCGTTTCCATGGCAATACTTCATAAGAAATGAGAGTAGAATTTGACCCTCGCTGGGTAGAGTTATGTTAGATTTGGAGAGAAATTCTCTCTGAAATTTCAAATTTATTATAAACTTCCATGCACTGCCAAAGACTGCAATGGGGGGGGGGAGACAGAAAGAAACAAACATTTCAAATATAGAATTCAAATGGGCGAAGAAATCCAAAGTGTGTATTTTGAGATGGCCAGAATTTATGCTTCTCGACCTTCCCCAGTTTGTTCAGGCACAAGTATGCTTGTTGCCAATTGCATCACCCAACAAGAAGCCTGTTGATTTAAAAGAAAGTGACTTGAACTCATAGTGTCTTGCTTTCTAGCTCAGTATTTTAACCACAAGACCACCAAACTACCTATTTGTAACAAGGCAAGCTTCTCTACTTTCCCCAAAGTGTTGTGCCCAGACCTCTTCTGGTAGTTTCATGGCAACTTTCCCCCTGTGCCCAAGTGGTTTGATCCACAAAGTGAATAACAAACAAATGATTAGGAGTTTTGAAACAATTTTTTTTGGGGGGAGGGAGGGGAACCAAGTTAGGAAAATTAAATTCACTCTGTCCCACTGTCCCGCTCCTGTGGGAACTATTGACAAGGAAGTTGACATGTTAGCATGACAGTTGCACTGTAGGTGGAACTGCATGTGAAGCTCTCAGCTGCATAGTTTACCTAGACTAAAATAAGCATTCCTGAATTGTTGTCCCTAAATCAAGGATACGCATCATAAAGCCTACTGTATAAATGCATCTTCCAGTGCCTTTTTGTTATCTCTCCAGAGTGCCCCTCCCAATGGCACTGCTACAAACTGTCCAATAATATAATTTCTGACCCAAAGCATCTTGAGTTTCTGGTAGCCCTAACACACTTATTTTACCTACATCTAAGCATTTAAAAATTGTTTATTAGGTGAAATTCAAGGATTATCCAGTGGAGGATTTATATTACTACTGCAGGTCTTATGGAAATGATTGATGTAGCTGAAGCCTCTGGTAGAAGGAGGAGGAGGTGGTGATGATGATGATGATGATGATGATGATGATGATGATGATGATGATGATGATAGTGGTGATGGTGGTGATTTGGAGCAATAAGCAGTCTCTCCATCTCTTATATAGTATCTGAAGCTTTTTGTATGTGTGCAGGTGTACTAACAGCAGGAATCTAATCTGTGTAAGCAGTAGTGAAGCAGGTTTCCTAAATAGTATGGAAATATATTATAAAGATAGACAAAGCCCAGGACCAAGTGAGGAATCCCAGACAGAGGAAAGTCAGTAAGCAAGTACTCTATGGGGGTGACGCTGGGAAGAATGGCAAAAGGAAGTGATATTAGGTTAGCAAATGGTAAAACAAAAAGCAAGCAGAGTGACTGATGAAAAGGGACAACTGAATAAGTAAATTCTTAATTCTCTATATCCTAGTGGCCCCTGTGGCCACTAGGTCCCGAGCTGCTGAAAAATTAGTGCAAATGAACTTGTACCTCCAAAACTATATTTATTTAGGAGCTAAAATTAGTTCTTTTGATTGTAATCCTACAGTCATTCTGTGGTACAAGTTGGGCTGCACAATAGTTACTGATCTTACATGACAGAAATTGTGCCGAGCACCCTAAACCACTAACTAGCATGTTACCTTAGGAACGATGGATGTTCTAATCCGACATTTCTGGAGAGCACCAGGATGAAGGAGATAGGAAGTCTGTGGCTTTCTAGATTTTTCTGAACTAGGAGATTTCTCTCTCATAGACATTTTTTTGCTGGAGCCACTTTGCTGATGAAACTGAAATTCAGAAATTATCCAGAGTTCCACGGATTTTAAGGATGGAAATTTCTATTTACATGGGTGGAATGGTATCTTAAGCCAAATAATTTCTGTGAAAAGAATATGAGTAGGTATGGTGAGCGATGTCATGCTGTTCTATCTGCTACATTCTGCTATATTGTGTCTTAACCAAGAGCAGGTTGGCAATATCAAACATAAAAGGAATATGCAGAGTAGAAACAAAACTTCCTGTCTAATTCTCCTTGTTATCAGCTTTATGATGCTGTCCTTTTAAATGTAACATGTCGAAACTGCCGCCAAGCAGGGCCCCCTTGTGAAAAGCTGTCAAGTTTAATTAGGTGATATTATATTTTTATATAAAAATGTAAATGTTCTTTAAAGGAACTTAACTTTAATAGGTACGATTCAACCCTAAGTTAAGTCCTTTTGAGTAACTTAATTTCGATGGGAGTTACACACCTGAGGGTTGAAATCGATGAGATTTAAAAACAATTGTTTGTGGGCTGAATCGGGTTTCAAGCCCATTAAACAAGATCAGCCTATCCAACTGGAAAGAACAGCCTTTCCATTTGATGGGTTGAAATAAATGTGTTCATCTCTGTGAGCTCCAGATTAAACGGGATTTTAAAATATATTTTATTACCATATGGCAGTCAGGCTGATGAATTGTTTTAGCCTTGCCAGCAAATAACCAAGTAATCAGACCACAGTGGTCTTGTTTGGCCTTCCAACTTCTCAAACTCCAAGTCACAGAGGGAGCTCCCTGCTATATGAATTACCCATGGAACCATGTCCATTCAGTAGCTCAAATCGTGGGCTTTTTTTATATTTGCCAGGTGGACCTATCTGCCATGTATATCTTGACGTAAGCCCCGAATCTGGACTATAAACATCTGGATGACCCCTGACTTCTTTGTTCTCTTTGCTGCCAACTAGAGGCCAACTGGATTTTTGTAGCTTTGATCTTATTAGCTTATCTTTAGGCCTTCTAAAACTGTTATCTACAGCTATGGGCACAGAAGGTTGCTAAGTGTCTGTACCAAATCCATATATCTGGTATGTGCAATACAGTGACTAACCAATTGCAAATTGTTTTTCAGACACAAATGAAGATGCCGCCGTTGACCTTTAAAGCCCTTCAGTTCAGACTATTTGCAGGATTGCTTCTCCCGTTGAAAACACGTCTAAGATTACAATCTAAAGGAAAGACCTTTCTTAAGATGCTTCCTCTTTCAGAGGCCCATCTATCAGGCACATGGATGATGTTCTCTCCTGCTACTAATTTTAGGTGATCTCTTTGACACTATGGCATGTACTATCTACAGGTTAAATTTTACTGTCCTCCAAATTGCTTGGATGAAGTAAATGAATTAAATATTCATTTTTGCCAAAGTCAGATTTATTTTTATTAGCTTTCTTTTATTCAGATAAATATAGATAGATGATAGATAGATGGAGAGAGACGGAAGGAGAGCGATGGAGAGAGAGAGAGAGGGAGGGAATTTGTTGCTTGGTCTATGCAGTTTCATCTAAAATACAATAGTGTGTTTTGTCTTCTGACAACTAAATAGACAATTTCATGCAGTTTTCTTGGCAAGAGTTTTCAGAAGTGGTTTGCCATTGTCTCCTTCCATGAGCTGAAAGAGAGTGACTGGCCCAAGATCATCCAGCTGGCTTCATGCTTAAGTCAGGACTAGAACTTAGGTTTCCCTAAATCCAGCACCTAAGGCACCAATTCAAGCTATCTAACCCTTTTGTATAATAATACCCATAATAATCAATGTCACTCTTGAAGGAGTCAAAATAGCAAATATAGTGCTAATAAGTTCAAAGAGCCAACAATGCTTTCTAGGAAAGAAGGAAGTGTGCAAAATGTTCCACAATCAGTACAATAGGTAGAAATATTACTCTGATAATCTTGGGACTAATTCAAAAATTATGACTTTTCTCCAGTGTGCAAATCCAGAAATACATTAATGTTTGTTTAAGAAATGTATAGGTATAATCCAATCTCATACTTCTCTGGATGCACCAGGAGTCTTTTTTTTATTAAATTAGTTACAATTACAGTTTTTTGGCAAATGTTAAGATTTAAGAATGTATTCATTTTTAAGCAAATTAAAATGTATGATAGGGATTAAATAAGAAGAGAAAAGGAGATACGGTTGTTTTGAGAAGTTAAAACCTTTTCTCATTCCCCAACATATTTTCACATAGAAGAATATGGGTTCTGCACTTTCTTAATGCATTGCAAAACTAGCCCTTTATGGGTAAAGTTCTATAAAACAGAAATAAATGGGTGGGAGCAATGGTACCATTTTATTTTTGATCTTGAATAAAAGGCAAAGCCAGAATGTGAGCAAGAATACAATGTAATGCAGTGTGCTGTATTATTATTTTTTTCTCTTTCCACTTTAACAATTTATTCAATAAAATGTTGTACTTTCTGTAATCCAACCTTTCTTCAACATGACGTGAGTATCAATTTCCTTTGGGAAAAGTTGGTAAACTCCTGCATCATTCCTTTCAAAGATATAATTTATATAATTTTCAGAACACAGCAGCCCTGCAGCAATGCCTTCTATGAATTATTTGAAAGTGCTGAGAATTGCTTTATACATGTAAAGAGCTAAATAAGGACCGTATAATTCGAGTTATTAACATATAAATGCAAAGGGGAAAGTGTTCACATATAGGTATTTTAGAGAGAATAATTGTTTCCTCACTTTAACAAGGTCAAATAAAATAGAAAGGAATAAACTTTGGATCCACTTCAGTTCACACTGTTATGCATTTGTCGATACTCTTGTAAATAAACCCTTAATAAATGGCTAAGGGGGATAGGAAGCAGAAAACAATAGCTAGTGAAAATGCATTCTGACGAAGAAGGAAAGCAATCAACAATCACATCAGCACTCATGGAACATGAAGACCTACCTTGGCAGCAAGTATCTGAAGGAACAGGAGTACACCAACGTGCCTTGTGTATATTTAGTATGTCCAGTCAAGATACTTTTTAAGAAATAATGGCTATTGAAAGGTGAAAGTCTGCAGATTCCTGGGCAACAATGCAGAAGACTTCAGAGCACGATACCTGTAAAATGTTTTTTCAGGCATCTGACTTAAAAAGAAATCAGATTTAAAAAGAAAAGAGCTGTCTAGTAAGATAGCAGTATCACAGGATGGAGGGGAAAAAATGAGTTTTTGGTTGCTTTTACTGAGCCAGAAAGAGTGCAAATGAAATATCCTATGTGCCATACTTCGCAAAAAGCACAAAACCAGGTTAAAAATAGTAATTAAGAAAGTAAAAAGGCAAAAAATGCTCCCTCAGCATCAAGTCCTCTGTCAAGCTATGGGAACAAATCTGACTGAATTGAAAGAATGGGAACACATTTAGTTACTTGGGAACAAATCTGATTTAATTGAAAGGAATGTGTAGACGTGTGTTTGCAATGTTAAGAAAATATTATACATAGAATACATTTTATATCTGAGGAGTTTTTCTCCATGGCCCTGGTTTTGCAGGTGTAGTATAGTAAGTAGCACTATTACAAATACTACAAACATAGTTAGTAGCAATAAAATATAAGGAATATGCATCCAAGCATTTTTGTCCCATTGAACAATGAGTTATTAATGACCTTTGGGTCAATGCAATTAATGCTAATATTATTGTGATTGCTTCTTAACTTATGTCCTACTTATTTGCAGAGCTACTGGTTTCCCACTTAGCTCATCTAGTTCTGACAGCCAAGCTGTCAATGCATTCAGTGTTATTGCCATTAATGCTATTCTCCCCAAATGAAAGAGTTAGGTTAGAGTTAATTAAAGAAACTGGACCAATATAAGCAAATAACAGGTCTTGCTGATTTATTGCTTTTAAAAAAATAAAATCTCATATTCAAACAATTCTCCCATCAAGTTCTGTTTAAAAGAGAAAGCCAGCAGCACAAAATTGCACATTGCAGATTTTCCATTGGGTCGAGACAATAATTAAGAATACGGGATATATTGATTTTGAAAGCGCTTCATAATTTCTCCTTGGCTAATATATAAGAGGAGAACAAGATTTAGAATAAGAAAGGTTTATAAATAAAACAATTATAAAATCACCAGAAGAGTCTTCCAAATGCAACCATCCACCATATTTCAAATGGCCATGGTTTTACCACTTAGGCAACAGTTAGATACTGCAGATATTTTCACGGGAGCCAATTTTGTTTCTACAACTGATAAGATGGATGAACACTCTCCCATTCCCACTGCCTACTCTCCACATTTCTGCCCAAAATCGCTTAGAAAACCACCAATGGCCAATTTGATGGTAACAAGATTTTTATTTATTTATTATTTGCCTTTAGAAACCCCATCACTGTTACCTCAGAAACAGTATAATTATTGGTGACTAAGTGGCCACACCCTTCAGGTTTTCCTAGCGATCTTCTCAAAAATGCTTTTTTCTCCTGTAACTTTTTGTCTTTTGCTTTCCAGACTGACCAGCCCTGGAATATTCTAGTGGTCTTCTTTTAAGCAAGGATAATGGAGGTGCTTTTTTTTTTTTTAAAAAGCAAGCTACATTTTTAAGCAAACCAATGCATAAAATCTACATAAAATATTTTATGGATTGTATAAGGGTTTTTTTCCTTTTGGTTTTCATATTTTTATCATAGTTTACAATGCAATTCTTGCCTCAAGAATGCATCCACTAGGAAAGGCAGATACACTGAGGAAAATTGAGTACAAGGATGTGTTAAAATTATGGGATATATGAACAATCGAAGCCCATTGTTTGCATATTTAAAACGAGAAAACAAGAAAGAGGGATGGAGAACAGAATGATACACACCCCTTTGCTGCTTTTCCTGGGAACAGCTTTCTGATATAAGTGGACCTTTACTATGTCTTCTTAAATAGAATGAATAAGCAGCTTTGTATTTTATTATTATTGCTACTGTCAGTACTATTGGTTTGCTACTACTACTACTGTTTATAGTTCCTTGCTTTATTTTTATTTTGATTGTAAATTTATGCACACCTGTATATACACTTGGTGCTAAGGGCAGTATAGTTATTGAGTAATTTAGAAAGGTAACCAATCTATTAAACTTTGTCAGGCTTGATAATATCAGAAAAATAAGAAACAAGAAAAGCATAGAGAATATAGCTGTCTAATAATAATAACAATAGAGTCATCCATTTATTTCCTAAAACAGCTGAGGTAGGATTAGCAATATGGTAAGCAAAATAAGATTAGCAATATGGTCCCCCAATAAGTCCCATGATCCCTTGCTCTTGGCCATGGTGGCTAAGGCTTGCAGGAATTAATCTTCAAAACAGCTGGAAGCCACCCAGATGCCGGGTCCTTCTCTAAAGAATATTGCTTATTTATTTTTTCTTTGATGTTATCAATGTCTGAGCAATCCATTTGGTGAGAGAAGCAAAACATAGAAATCTTTTCTGAAGTATAAGCTTTGTAAGCATCGATCAGATGTGGGATCATCAGGAAGTGGTTCTAATTTAAACAAAATTCTCCATATATGTAAAGTGTTAACCTGTGAGTAAGAATTAACTATCATTCCCCACCCACCCCAAATCTATCTCTTGAAATGGAGCATGGCTGGCTGATAACAGGGATACAGTCTGTTTCAATGCAGTTATGAAGTCAAAGACATAATCAAGAGAGGTTGGGTTTTTAAAAATGCATAAGAATGTATTCGTTAGAGAGTCGATGGTTATATCTGGCTCTCAAGCATTCAAAGACAAATGGCCATATGATAAAATGTGAAATTTCTCCCCTTCTCTCAACTAGTTCAGAAGTCTTTGAATTTTCTGTGTGCGGGAAATCAAAGGCCAGAACAAACACTGTTTTGATATGGCTTTGAAGATGTTAACAGCTTCTATTAGAGAAAAGTGAGGCTGGGAGGCTGCAAGGAAGCCATAATTGACATGAGCCACAACCCAAGGAAAGTTTACCTTTTAAACGAGTAAGCAGTCAGAACTGCCAGGAGGGTATTTCTTACAGTGATGAAATAAAGCACTCTTGAGAATACAACACCCATTCTTTGAATTAATGACATCCATCCAGCAAAAAGAAGCATGTTTCAGCATTTCAAAATCCTTATCGAAGAAAGGAAGAGGGTTGCCCAGCTTTCCTTCTTGGAGAGCCATTTTGAGTAGGTTTTCTTTAGGTACTAGCTCCCGGAACTGGTATTACGTCTGTAGCAATGGAGGTGCAATAACAATGCAGTAAGAATACCCAAGGAATGCCTGGTCTTCTTTATTCATGAATTAAAGTTGAACACATAAAAACAAAACTTAGCATATGACATCCAAACACTAATAAAGTTGAGGTTACTTGTTTTCTTCTTTTCCCCCCTCCACTTTGAATGAACCTCAGTTGTGTTATATTATGTGGAATTTTATTTTATATAGCTTTCTTAACACAGTTAACCACACCAGCAGATTTAAAGACCTCAGTGGTATTTTTCCTGATCTTCTACTTATATCATTATAGTTTTGAGTAACTATTACTCAGAAGATTGAGCCACCGATTGTCACTTTCTTATTTCACAAGTCACCTGATTTTGGTGACTCATTTATTATCAAATACATCCCTGTTCAACTTCTTGGCAATGTCCACTGGTTGGTAGATACATTTCCCCACACTGTGGTCAAAGTTTCCAGCAAGATGTGGTTTGAAGGAACTTATGAAGAAATTATTTGATGTATGAAAATGGAACTAATTGGAACAGCTATGCTTATATTTGTTTTTGTTTTTTTTTCATTAAATGTTTGAATATATAAATAGAAAAGATACTTATAGAAGTAACCAATTATATTAAAATGTTGGACTGTATTACTTAAGAAAATGTAAGTTATAAAATAAGTGGGCTCACTATTCCAGTAAGAATTGAACAATTGTAACATCATAAAATTAATTATTTTGATGATGGATTGGGTTTTAATATAGAATAGAAGGGAAATTGGAATTTGGTTAAAATTAGAAATGAAAATGAAGGGTAAAATTGGTAAAAAAAAATAGATGAAAATAAACAATATGGCGAAAAGGAAGTATAGAAATGGCAATCTTGGTTGTAAAAATTAAAAAATTGTTTAAATTTGTTAACCAGCCAATACTCTGATCAGCAAAGATATACTGTATGTTTGTGTGTGTGTATGTGTAAAAAATAAAGAAAAACTTTTTACAAAAAAAAAAAAGTTTCCAGCAGGTAAAACTGATATCTCACATTAACAGGGTTATTTAGGACTATCTTCAAGAATGGCACCATTTTGGATCTGTCTTCCTGCCTTTTAGGATATCTAGAAATGGTGCCATTGATCCGGCATTTTGGTGC